AGACGCCGAAGCCGCGCTCCAAGATGAAGACCTTCAACTGGAACAAAATCCCCGACAACAAGGTAGGCCTCGACCGCCGCCGCTTTGCACTGATTCGCATTGGCTCTTTGCACTTCATATACGCATTCAGTCTAGCCTTAGAAACGCCCTGAGCCGGCCTCTCCCTTCCGCCTCCACAGATCGTAGGCAAGAACAACATCTGGGCGATGTTGGCCCGCCAGCACCAGGACTCCCCGACGACGGCCCTCGACTGGGACGAGATGGAAGGACTCTTCTGCCAACAGACCGCGTCCACGCCCTTGTCTCCTGCCAAGACCGCGAAGGACACGAAGGACGAGACCGAGAAGAAGAAGAAGGAGCCGACGGAGGTGAGTCGGGTCGTCGGGTCGGGCCTTGTGTTCGGTATTCGGATAAAACTAATATTCGAATAACTTTAACCAATTATGGTAATGAGAAGCATATATACATGTATTTATTTTGCAGCATTCTCGTCCTTCGGTTAGATTCTTCAAACGCCTTTTGCTATGCACAAGTAACACTTAATCCGAAATAGAGCAAAGTGGTTGTTTGTGCCGAAGTTTCAATCAACTTGTTTACTTATTTTCCAGATCAATCTTCTCGACGGAAAACGCTCCCTCAACGTCAACATTTTCCTCAAACAATTCAGGGTGTAAGTATTACTTTTTTTTACATTGTTACATAGTTAGTTATTAATTATGATTAATTACGATTTATGATCACCGATGCAGTAATTTTTATCATGGTCGTGCCTCATGATTGTTTATGTGATTATGTGTCATATGTTACTTAATTGCACTGATTAATGGTGATCAATACACCGATTATTAGGAATGCGTTTGATTTATATTTCCTGAACTATCACTTAATTGCGCCTCAGCTCATTGATTATTCATTCTTTAAAGTACGTAAATATACGTAATATTTTTTTTCAAATAGTTAACGTAATGATGATGATGATGAATGATATGATGATTATAAAAAATTCATTTTTTTGTTTTAGGAATGTTTGCCACGGACGGACATATATATATATATATATATATATATATATATATATATATATATATATATATATATATATATATATATATATATATATACATATAACATACACATATATACATATATAAAAGTGTATATTCCTTTTTTTTTTTTACATTTTTCTACACACAAATACATACATAGTCAATTCACATACAAACAAACAATCGCAAGCGTGCACATACACACACACACACATGTACACATACAATCACACACACACATACACATACACACACACACACACACATACACACACACACTACACACACACACACACAAGTAAATAAACGTAATATTTTAGAAATAGCATGTAAAAACAAAAAAATCATCTTACACACGACGAATGCAACATCCCAGTCTTTCACCCACACTCAAGACCTCTTCACAGCTTCTTTCCACCTTGGTTTCTCTTCCAATAGAAACATACAACGTCTTCGAAGAAACCAGCACGACAGCTGTGCATGAAATATATTTTTTTGGTTTACTTAGGTAGAAATTTTACATAGTTTTTTGTATTGTTGTGATTGTATATTTGGACGAGAACCATGTGAATAATTAGATAGAGATTTATGCTGTTAAAGGAATTGTTTATCTTGTGCAACAGATCCTTCGATTGTCTCTTTGTGTCGTCTTTTTGTTTTATCTAGTATCTCTCTCTGTCTGTCTCTCTCTCTCTCTCTCTCTCTCTCTCTCTCTCTCTCTCTCTCTCTCTCTCTCTCTCTCTCTCTCTCTCTCTCTCTCTCTCTCTCTCTCTTCTCTCTCTCTCTCTCTCTCTCTCTCTCTCTCGCTCTCTCTCTCTCGCCTCTCCCTCCTTGGATCCACTGTACCATTAATTCCCCCATCTATTCTCGCATCTATTACCCATCTCCCTCTCTGACCCCCTCTCTCCCCCTCCCCCGCTCTCTCACCCCCTCTCTCCCCCACCCCCTTGTCTCACCCCCTTGTCTCCCCTCTCTCTCCCCTTCTCACCCCTTGTCTCCCCCCTCTCACCCCCTCTCACCCCCCTTATCTCCCCCCCCTCCAGCTCCAACGAAGAGATCATGGAGATGATACGAGCGGGCGAGCACAGCGACATCGGCGCCGAGAAGCTGCGAGGCCTCCTGAAGATCCTGCCGGAGCCTGACGAGATGGAGATGCTGAGGAACTTCGACGGCGACCGGACGAAGCTGGCCAACGCGGAGAAGTTCCTGCTCATGCTCATGGAGGTCCCGCAGTGAGTTGGCCGGAGGGGGGCTTTGGTTGGGGGGGGGGGTTGGGGTGGGTTGGGGGAGGGGGGTTGGTGGGGGGATGGGGGGTTTGGGTGGTGGGGTGGAGGGGGTGGGGAGGGTGGGGGTGGAGGGGATGGTTCTTGGGTGTGGGGATTTTACTTTCTTTTTTGTTTGTTTTGGTGTGTGGTTTGCGTGTTGTGTGTGTGCGTGGTTGGGGGGAATGGTTCCTTGGGTGTGTTTTTTTTTGTACATTTTACTTTCTTTCTTGTTTGTTTGTGTGTGTTTGTTTGCGTTTATTTGTGTGCGTGTGTGCGTGCGTGTGTGTGCGTGTGTACTTGCGTGCGTGCGTGCGTGTGTACTTGCGTGCGTGCGTGTGGTGTTTACGTGTGTTCGTGCGTGCGTGTTCACGTGCGTACCTGCCTGCCTACCTGTGCGCGTGCATGCGTCCCGTCCGCGCGTGTGTGCCGCTGGAAGCTGACCCTCGCCCCGCCTCAGGTACAAGCTGCGGATCGAGGCCATGCTCTTGAAGGAGGAGTTCGAGTCCACGATGGAGCAGATCGAGCCGTCCATCAACGCCGTCATCTACGCCGGCCGCGACCTCACCACCAACCCGCACCTTCAGGAGGTCCTCTACATGGTCCTCGTCGCCGGGAATTTCCTCAACAGTGTAAGTGGCTCGAGTTTGTTCGCAATATTTTTTTTTTTTTATTTTTTTTTTTTTCGGAACTTGTAATGTGTTTTTTTTTTTTTTTTTTTTTTGTACGTAACTTGTAATGTGTCAAGTTTCCATTTTTTTTGTACGTAACAAGTTTGCATTTTTTTTTTTTTTTTTTGTACGTTCAAGTTTCCATTTTTTTTTTTTTTGTACGTAACTCAAGTTTGCATTTGTAATTGTAGTGTCAAGTGTGCTTGTAATGTGATTTGCACGTTCTTGTTACTTCTTTTTAGTGTGATTCTTTGATGATTTTCTATATATGGATTAGACTTTTGCTCGGTCATATGTGCTTATATTTACGTAATTTTGGAGGTTGTTATATGCAGTGAGGTTTGGGATTTGTGTGTTGTTGTGGGGAATGTTTATCTGTTTGTAGAACTGTTGTGTGTTGTACCTTAGTGTGTGAAAGTATTTAAGATTATTTACTGGGCAAAAAAAATATGCATGTTGGCTTTTGGAAGCGACTTTGGACTGTCAATTCTATTCTTTCTCAAAGGTAATAAAACCGACAGTCCACCCACCCTTTTTTAAAAGAGATACACCCCCATCAATCACCCCCCCAAAAAAAAAAAGCAGGAGAAACGAGAGAGAGAGGAGAGAGAGAGAGAGAGAGAGAGAGAGAGAGAGAGAGAGAGAGAGAGAGAGAGAGAAGAGAGAGAGAGAGAGAGAGAGAGGAGAGAGAGAGAGAGAGAGAGAGAGAGAGAGAGAGAGAGAGAGAGAGAAGAGAGAAAGAGAGAGAGAGAGAGAGAGAGAGAGAGAGAGAGAAAAGAAGAAAAAGGCGCCATTATAATTTTTCCTCCTCACTATGCTCCGACCTTTACCAACTGCACCCATTCCTAGCTTCACTTTTTTTTTTGTTGGCTTTTATTTTTACCGCGCCTTATATGGCGTTGACCTGACCTTTCGGCGCGTGGTTTTCTGGGGGTGGGTATGCGGGCAACGCCGCGGGCATGAAGCTGTCATCGCTGCAGAAGCTGACAGACATCCGTGCCAACAAGCCTGGCATGACACTCCTCCATTACGTCGCACAGGTCAGTCTGCCAAAGGATTTTTTAAATGTTTTTTTTGTATTGTTAAGGTATTTTGATAAGTTTTTTTTTTATGTTTTTGTTTTGTTTTGTTTATATAGTTCCTTTTCTTCCCTCATTCTGTTCTGCATTTTGCGCTACTTTACTTTGTCATTTAGGTTTCCTCTTTCTGTATTTTATCTTTTAAAATGTATTATTTTTAAGCATTTTTCCCTCTCTCTTGTGTGTGTATTTTTCCGATTGAAATTCCATTTTCTTCTTGTTTCCTTCTCTGTTTATTTATCACTCGCCAATAAAACGAATTTTGTGAATAAACCAGAATGTCGATTTTCTATTAATTAAAAAAAAAAAAAACTTTACCTCCTTATGCTTATTTTAGTTTCTTCAACAAGAGAGAATTTAACAAGTTACTCAGTTTTCTCTTTCGAACAATCTATCTTGTTTACAAAGAAACAGACATTTTTCCTTTTATTTGATTTAATCCCTAATTATGTTTATAGTTTTGAATTATTCATCATTTGGATATGAATATTAAACACTCATTTTCTGTATTCGTTGATAATTGATAAAGTTATTGTTTTACCCGTTTGTTTTAGTTTTGAATTAATTTGTCTCGTCTGTTGCCATTTAATTTTTTTTACGTTTTCTTTCCGCCTTCCAACGCCATCTGTTGGCCGAATCAGCAAGCGGAGCGAAGAAATCCCGATCTGCTCAAGTTCCCGGATGAATTATGTTTGGATGAAGCTACAAAGTAAGTATTGTTTTTTTTTTTTTCAAAGATTTATTCATTTGTGTGTATATTTTTTGGGGGAATTTGTGTATGATTTGTTTTTGAATGATTATCCAAAGGAATTGTTTTAAGGTTAGTAGTTAGCAGGATTGCTTTGTTTAAAGGTTAGGTTGTGAACCTGTTCTTGTTTTTACACTTGGTGAATTTTAAGTCTGTTTGTCACATAAAATACCCACACACACACGCGCCCACCA